ATCTTGCCCATTCTAACAAATTATTTTCTAATCTTCATTTGTTAACCGTTCATGACATTAATAAACTTCAGCAATGCCTTTTTGTTTATAAAAATATATATTCTCTTCTTCCATCAAACTTCTCTTGCAATTTTATTCATAATTCTTCAATCCATTCTTATAATACCAGGATCTCCAATGAAATCCATCTCCCCCAGTCCAAGCTAACACTCCTACAGCATAACATCCGGTATAGTGGATCGAAATTATTTAACAAGCTTCCTAAAGAAATTTCATCTGCCCCTTCAATTATTATATTCCTTAATAAATTAAAAACTCATTTCTTATCCTTTTATGATTAATTTTCCTTAAAATTTGTCCAGCTATTAACCAGTGCTTCCGTGTCATTTGCCCTCTTTTTTTTCCATCTTTCCTGGTTTTCGTCTGTTGTTTTCTTGTTGTTTTGTTTTTGATGTGTTTTTGAAATGTACTGTTATTGTCTATTATATGGCTAGCTCGACACAAGTTTCGGTTTAACCTTTAAACCGAATTTACTTCCAGGGCTGTTGCCTCTTTCATTGTTTATATGTTAATTGATATTAGTTATACAGTTATTCTGATATTATTATTATTGTTCAATTTAATTATTTTCTACTGTATATATATATATCAAAGAAAGATGAAAGAAATAAATGTTGCTAGTCGAACTAATCAATCTTTAGACAAAATTATAATGAACACAGAAGTAATTTTAACATAAATATTTTACGGAATCCGTTCCTGAAATATACAAATAATAAAATACCAAAAGTCCGAAAAAATCTAATCCGTTGTGAGGGCGCTAATGGTTTTAGAAGGGGAATTCCCTACGTAAAACCAAGCGTTGGGACGAACGACGCGCCTCTTTGCATGCTGGGGGAGTTAGTTTCCTGATTGAACCAATTACTTTTGATTGAACTACCTCCATCCATGATTGAACTACCTCCATCCATGATTGAACTACCTCCATCCATGATTGAACTAGGAAGTAGACCTAAGCTCAAGTAACTCTGAATAATGTACAGACATTTATTCTCTTTGATATTCAATGTCTAGAGACCTACCACCATATCTAGGCTAGGCCCTAGCCCCTAGTTAGTTGTAGTACTAGGTAGTAGTATCATACCGAGAGAGGGAGAATAGGCCTAGCTAGGCAGGCTTGTTCGAGGCCTCCTTCCTAGCTAGCCAAGCCCTAGGCCTAGGCCTAGTTACTTTAGGGTAAGTAGGCCTAGTCCGATATATCACAGCTGTATAAACTCCACTTGGTTTGATTTATTATATTTATATATTTGGCTTACCTTTCAATTTAGAAATTAAAACAGGAAAATATTTCTCTTGTAAATAGCATTGTTAATGTGGTCCGTAACCAGGGGAAAACCATTTGTTTTATTTAGGGGAAACCACTTCCACCTCAAATTCAGCAAATACAGTACCAATGTTTCAGCTCCAGATGCTTGCTCCTGACATTTGCTGGATCTCTTTGACCTCACTAATGGGCCGGGCCCTAAGTGGTCTTTGGATATCTCAGTGGTGGATCCAGGATTTTTGAAATATACGGGGGGGCCAAAGCTGGGACATTCCCCGATGGAGGGTGTATACCACCTCAGCTAATGGGCGTAAGCTGCGGATGCATCCCCCATGGCAGCAAATTAGTTCCACTAAGTGGGTTGAAATACCAAAAATGACCATTTACAGTAGTTTTCATTGGAGTAGGGATTTGCTCAGCCCTAGTGTCGTGACGCCCATGTCGGTCGGGGGCCCTATGACTTTCTGAGATTATGGGCCCTTTTTTAGTCCCAGTACTAAAGTCCATAATAGGATTTTAGATGTGCTTTTTTAAAATAATTTTTTTCATGTTTTTAGAGACTAAGTAAATGATAATTTATGAGTGGCGAATCCAGAAATTTGTAATAGTGGCGGCCCAGAGGAACTTTCACAGATTAAGGGTCTGTGCCATTTCAGCCTCACTATGGTGGGGCTGAGGTCAGAAAATTTATGATTATAGCGACTCTAGATGTCCACAAATAGTACTCACAGACATTTTTTTTACAAGTTTATATGTCCTACAGTTGATGTCAGACGACATATGCTGTTATGTATCAATGAAGCCTTTTAGGGTGAGGGTGCTTGATCAAGGGTCCTATGGGTCGGGTCCCCTAGGTGCCGGGGGTTCTGCAGACTGCCGCACGAGAGCACATAGGCATTACGCCACTGCTCAGCCCAACATAGTTGGGGCTGAGGTAAGAAAGTTTAGGATTATTGCAATATAGCCGGAAATGGCACTTTCAGAATCTGCCACTGTAGTTGGCTGTCATTAATGATGGTAAACATGTCTTCATCGTGTTAGTGTTATTCACCATGATTATACATTAATAGACGTTGAATAAATTACATGTTTTTATCAAGGACCTATAATTATTTAAGATCCATTTTTATATAAAGCTGTGTTTTTAATATTTGTTTTGCTTAATATTTTTAGCATTATGAATTTCCTTAAAAATCTTTCCATAATAGGCCTAATTTTCATTTTACGCACCCTGTGCCCTTCCCCCTTCCCCCCTACATGGGTTGTGCAAATGTATTTAGATATTAAAAGTACAGTATTAGCCCAGCCTGGAATCTCTGTAGTTTATGTAACTGTTTTTTTTTTTCAGAAATGTAATGACGAATGAAAGGAAGATCAATATGAGATAGAAAGATTCAAGGCAATAAATACAAAATGGAAGGTAAACTAATCAAGAAGATTATCAACTTGCTCTCAAAAAACATCAGGCCCAGTGGTTTATAATTTCTGTCTTTGTATGTGATAAGGGAAAAAATTCTTGTTATTTTTATTATTGTTTAGTGCAGCTTGGTCCTTGATAGCATAAATGTTAATTCTAGGCATACTGATCATCTGTGCTTCTTTAACCAAAAATCTTGGACTCAAGCTTTCTTTCACTCGATTACCATTAGGCTGCCTTGAGTATAGGACAAATTGACAGGACCAATATTGATTTCTAGAGAATCCACCTTCCTTTCTGTGAAAGGTTTATTTTCCTTATGATTAAATATTATATTGTCTGTGATTTGGGATGGGCCCACCAGTATTGCTAAAGTGATGGGGTTCACTTTGGTTGGTCCTGGTCTACTCATTTTTCAGATTGCTGTTTAACTGTTTGTTTATTGGATCAAATAAATAATGAAATGAAAGGAAATTTAACATGTACAGGTATTTTTAGTATAAAATGTTTTTATGATTCTTTTAGGACCTTAAATTTACATATACAAAATTTTATCTTAAAAGGTAAAGGTAGGAGAATAGCACATAACTTACAGCGTCATTGTGCTGAATTGTGATGGGCGTGGTCTGTGACTACCTAGCAGCTGCAAAGAGGCGCTTCTTGGTAGATACATGCTCACATCATTCCACAACGACAAGGGCTGAAATGAACCATAACATCAGGGTAACCCCCTCCTCTTCCGAAAGATGTAATGGGTTCTTTAAAGTGCACACGAGCCAGATGTATACACTGGACCTCCATTTTAGTCCTTATCCGAGAAGACTTGGTTCTACCAACCGAACCATGCACGAGGAGCGGCTGGAACCAGCGCCAATGTTAAGGCTGTAGCTAGCAGCGCCCCTGCCTTACCGCTCGGCCACTCGACTCTATGTTACCAGTAAAAATGAATAATTTGGTATCACCTTATTATAACAATCTTGATTCCAAAGTATGCTAGTAAAAATAGAAATACAGTAACTCATAAATAACCTTCTGACATGAACACATTATTGTTGTCATTTCATAATTTTTAATAAGAAATAACCTATATTAAATAATAGGAAAATGATGCTGATGTGAAGATGATGACAAATGATAATTTAATTGACAGTGATGAAGATGATGATGTTTATTTGTTTGATCATTTAAATGTTAATGAAATTTAAAAATAATTTATTTAACTTTGATTTAATGTAAATAAAGGGTATTTTCCAGCTACATTAATAATGAGACATTTTTATTTTTGTAGAAATCACGGATGATGCTTTCACACAGCTGTTGTCAGTTTTTTCGGATTGGTATGACCAGCATGGATGGATCAGTATGCTCAAAGTTTTGTACAGAGGTCTCTTGAAAAACAATTATGAGTTGAATAAAGCTACCAATGTGATGGACTTAATGAATTTGCTGATTGCTTCTGGAGATCTGCACTCAACATACCTCAGTCTTCTCTATGATACCATAAACATAACAGAGCAATATGGCTTGGAAAGGGAAATGAAAGATATACTGCCTGTATTTCCAAATGTTAAAGATGTAATGATTTCAAAATTCACACCTCACAGACAAAAAGTTATGAAGCTTGGAATGGTACTGATTGATGAAGACATAAAAAAGATCAGTGGATTGTATAACAAACCAGTAAAGGAGTATGCAGACACATGGAGTTTGATTATGGATCTGGAGCACAATAGGATAATTTGTGAAGGAAATATGGAGGCATTCATTGAGAAATTGAATACCCTGAAACTCCAACAGGCTGTGGAAGTTTTCAAAGAAGGTATTAATTTAATTGCTATTTTATATCAATGTAATAATTGGTGATTATGTCAGAGATGGGCAAAGTCGTACAGTAAACAAAGAATCCACAAAACAATGCAAATTGATTTACAGTAGATTTAGATTATCATCAAGGGACACAGTCAGGGCATGAATTAGACAAACTGGAATCCCTCAAATTACTGCATGTACCAGTAAAATAGAAAGGTTAGCATTTTCAAGGAAATTCTTTTTTTTTTCTTCATTAGAATATAAAAACTTGCATGCAGTGATATTTACAACAAATTTTGCATGATGATAAGACATTGAAAAATTAAAAGTGTTAACATTAAAATTATTTATATTAAAATTTGAAAAAGCATTAAACATTTAAGGCTTTCACATTAAAAGTACTTTTAGCATCAAAATCGCAGCAAGGCTGAATTTCATGATATTGACAATAATGAAATTAAAAACATTATTCAAGCATTAGCACAAGACATGAAAAAAGTAATAAGTAAAATTAGAATACATTAAAATTTGAAACATTTTAATGTGAGGACCATTTAAAGGGATTTTAGTGCAAACGTCCTGGACATGATATCTCAAAAACTAATCAACTGGTATGAATGAAAATTTTGTGAAGGTTTAACCAAGTTACAATCAAGAAGTTGTCGAGTGCTGGTCGCGATTCAAATTTGGGAGTTAACTTTAGGGTCATTAAAATTTTTATGGTCCTGCATGTTTCTTGTGTTCAAAATATATAAAAAACAGCTGCACTGGTTTAAATGCCAGTTACAGGGCTTGTAAAGTATAACCCAAGGATGAGGTGATTAAATTTTGGTGACCAAATGAGGACCATACATTTTAACATGTGACGCTAAAAATCAAATCCCCATATTTCTATTTCCATAATATTTCCATTTCAACACCAATACATTGCATGCATTTTGTTTGTCAGCTATAAAGAGTAAAACATGCCAGTATGCTTTGTCAGAGCACATTAGGAATTGGCAGGTGTACAACAGATACAATGTAAGGTGTTCGAAAAATGAAGTGATTATATATTGGTGTTGATAGATATGGACCCTTCAAAGCAAAATGTTGCAGATCAGATATCTCAAAAACTAATCTAAGTGAAACTTTCGTCTTAGTGTAATCTTTTTAAAGTAAGAGAGCAGCTTAGCTCAGTCGGCTAATCTGGTGGTAGCCACTGTGTGTGTGCTGAACCGTGGAGATCTCTAGGTCCCCGGTTCAATTCCCATCGCTGCCTCTCCTTGTGTTTCAGCTAGAGGGCTGAAATACAAGTTACATAGCGCACCGTCTTTCGGATGAGACGTTTAAGTCGTTGGTCCTGTGTGCATTTATGGCCCATGTGCACGTTAAAGAACACAGTACATTCTTCGGAAAAGAGTAGGGGATTGTCTCCCGGTGTCCAATCACCACCAGAAGGACCCCACTGGAAAAAAGTCTTCTTCTAGACTTTCGTGGGCTATCCTTGGTGTTTACATCGAATAAATCCAATCCAATCCAAGAGATTGGCGAGTTATTGTGCCTTTTTGAAGAGGAATGGAGCGAGGTGAGTGGTTGTGGTAGTGGTAGTGGTTAAACTAAATTAGGAACATTTTTGGGAGGATTATTTTATAGAAAGGGTATTGCGGTGGGCGGAGATATGCTCTCTACTGAGTGCTCTTGTTATTATTATTTAGCTTTGACACATTTGTTTTTTTAGAGCTCACAAACACTTTGAAGTGTTTGATGATACACACACACACACACACGCTGTTTGGTCTTATTAATTTGTGTTTGAGAGGTGGTGGGATGAGTAGTTTAGATATTGGTTGGTGTGTGCTGATTGTCAGTACAGTATACTGTTCTGGTAAACTAGCTATTTTCTTCCTGTGTGATGAGAGTATTTGTGAGGTAGATATTGTTAGGGACACTATTGAGGCTTGAATAGCGCCCTCTGCCAGTTGTCTGGTTTCTCAGGAGTTTGGATTGGACCATACTGTACATGTGAGAACGAGTACAATCCATTGTCTCTTTTCATGTTTTGCTAGATGGATTCTGTTTGTATGGGTTTTGCATTTTTTGAGTCGTTAGTATGGTTATAGCGTCTCACAGAAATTGTGACAGCCTCCCGCACTTCCGCAAGGAAGAATCTCTCGGAAAATAACCAGTCTCCCTCAAATTCATAATATATTTGCATGTTTTACTATTTATTATAAATTGTCTCCTGGACGTCAGTGCTGATGGGTATCACCATCCATAGCAAAATAAAATTTAATGTGTTAAGAAAGTTCATTTAACCAGATCTCATGGAATGGACTTTTTCTAGCTTGGGACCCCTGTGGTTGTATTTAACCATGTGATCGGTTATACTGTAGCTGATTTGTAAATGCATCAATTTGTTCTTTAGGATGGATAAGGTGATCTTGTAGTTTATTGATATTTACTTGTGTTTTATGATTTCTATTTGTATATCAAACACAATGATCATATAAAATAGCATTTATGTGGCTTTTCCCTTCTTAACATCTCCAAATGCTTCCATGTCTTAACATCTCAAAAATGTGCAACCAATTTATGAATTAAATTATTTATTATGGTAAATAATAAATAAATTAATATTTATTGTACCAGTAATCAATTGTTTAATTTTATTTCAGACATTCCAACTCCAAAGCCATCTTTAAACCCAGGACAAGGAAGTGGTAAGATAAATAATGTTTACATTGGTATCTTATTTATAATATTATCATGTTATTTGTTACCTTGTGTTCTATAATAAATATATCTACTGCTACTGCTGCTATTATTCTGCGAGATGTTTCAAGAGAGGATGTGAAAAAATTCCCTTTCAATTCAGAATATTTTCTAGATATGTAAAGTGCTCTTATTATAGTGAAACAATACAGTAATTTTAAGAAGCTATCAATTATCCCCATCTTGATAGCTTGTTGAATGCTGCTTTGTGTAATTGTTCCTTGCTTGTAAGATTTAGAGTAGTTGATAATTATATTTTATTTAGTCTTTATACGACTTTCTGGTTTAAAGGCTACTGCTGTTCAAACCAATTGTACTTAATACAATACATTAAAACTAGATGAATTTCTTTGAACTAATTTATTACTATTCTGCTACTTATTCTACTGCTGGTACACTATCATTACGCAAAACTCAGAAATCTGAGGGTTGGTTAAAAGTTTGAAATTTTTGGAGTTTTCACGTATAGTACGCAAAACCTCTGAAATCAGATGGTTGATTAATAGTCTTGCTCTCTCTTTATAGAGAGAGCTTGTTTAATTTAATCGGATGTTTGATTAAAAGTTTGGAACTCCGATTTTGGAGTTTACGCGTATACAGTAGTACTAAAAACCTTCAAAATTTATTGTTGTTATCATTGTTGCAATTGCTACCTTTATTACCATCATTATTATTATTAATAATTAGTATTATTGTTATTATAAAAATAAATATTATCTTTAATTTATTATTGTTATACAGTAATTGTTATTATCACCTTCAATATCGTTATTATTACTATAAGTTTTTTAAAAATAGATATTACTTTTATATTGTTGGTATCTTTGTTATTACCTTTATTATCGTTATTTACTAATTATTAATATAAGTATTATCGAAATAAACATTATCTTTAATTTATTATTGTTGTTATTGTTATTATCACCTTAAATGTCGTTATTACTAATTAGCAATATTACTATTAGTATTGTTAAAATAAATATTACTATTAATATTGTTGTTGTTATCACCTCTATTATTGTTATTATGACTAATTAGTATTATTAAAATAAATATTAATTTATTGTTGTTATTGTTGTTTAATAGTATTGTTGAAGTAGAATGTTGTGAGTAAAGAGAAGACGAACACATTAATTTTTTTTTTAATTCGTAGGCAATAGCATTCCTATTGTGAATAATTGTTTATTAGATGCTATATACGCCCCACCTAATTTTAACGTAGCCTTATTCTTGGGAGTGGTTTTAAAGAAAATGTTATTGTTAAGGCCAACTCAGACAGCATTGGCCGACGCAGCCCGACCCGATTTATCGTCGGGGACAGTGCTAAGCCGTCGTGAGAAATATTAAACATGTTTAATATTCTACGACGCGACTGCCCCCGACGCAAACATCGCATCTGCGTTTAACTCACACAGACCTGACGCGGCAACAAATCGCGTCGTGCTGCATCTTACGACGCTGTCTGAGTTGGCCTTTAGGCTATTGATAGAAGAATCCTAAGTGCACACCATCATGCATTCATTTTATAGTCGGATTCAAAATAAATTAAAAAAATCACAATGTGGTTTTTATAATTCAATTTTTTTATGGATTAGGTCTACAGTATGTAGACCTACTCATGTCTTGTGTCAGTGTTTAACGTGAAAAAAATTAAACATTAAAATATTTTTTTTTTAATTATTAAGATTGCTTAAATTGTTAATGTTGCATTAGTGTTAGATTAATATTCCATTCTGTAAGTTGCAGTTTTTCCTCTGTTGTATAATACTAATAGAGTGAAGAAATGAATAGAACGATCACACGACGATGATCAGAATTTTACTAAAATATATTGTGTACTTCATTTCAATCATACTGAAGAAAAAGGATGCAAAAACTGAGCAATATTTACATTTCATTTTAATTATTTTATTCCATAATAATATATATCATGTTATAAATAACTTGTGGCCGAGTTGACTTGTGGCCGAGTTATCTTGTGGCCGAGTTGACTTGTGGTTGAGTTGACTTGTGGCCGAGTTGATTGCAGCCGAACTTTTTGTGGCCGAGTTGACTTGTGGCCGAGCTGACTGTGGCCGAGTTGACTTGTGGCCGAATTGACCTGTTTCCGTCACAAATCACTTACAGTCGGGAATATAGACATGGTTTTTAAAAAGATCTGAACGATCGCAGTTGGTTTAGATTGGGTATGAAAACAAAGATGGCACATGATATTCGGCCATTTCTAGGAGAATTAACTCCACAAGTGTTTTTATTAATTTCTCGAATTCTATAAATTGTTCAAGGTTAGTATTTTGTGGCTGGTTTATTGACTACCCAAGGATTACAAAACAGTTCCAGAGGATCCACTAATTACTGTAGTCTTAAATAAAACAAAAAGACAGTAACTCTGAAAATAGACATTTTGAGATTCAAAATCTCAAAATGTCTCTGTCGCTTTCCAAAACAATTCATTCATTGGATTTTGTGAAACCAATTTTACTGAATCGGCACAAATTTCACTATTTTATCAATAATTAAGAAAGAAATCAACTTAAAAGAAAAAACCCAAGTCAACAATTATTTAAAAAAAAAACTACATAAACTTTGACATTAACATAACTACAATTTAAAGATAGGAGAAAGACAAGTGAACAAAATAGCAGGCAAATGTAAGATTATCCTATGTTCTTTGATTGATTTATTTCTTCATCTTCTATTCATAGGTGTGAAATTAAGTCTTAAGCGCAAAAGGGAGGATGATCAACCAAATCCAGAATATGTTCTAGATTTGTTAAGAGAACTTGATGAATATAAAGGCCATCTGCCTTGTATGCATATGCGAAAGGGTTTTTCTCGACTGAGGAGCATTTTCGTGTATTATAAAGATCTTGGTTTAGATTTAGACAAATTAGAAGACGGATCTATAGTTTTCCATCTGTCTACACATGATCCGAATGCTTTGATGAATCTATGGGAAGTACATTCTAGCGGGAAGCTCATCAAAGATTTAACAGGAATATTTGTCCCAGAGAAACATCAGCAGGAGTTCTTAGATGAATGGATGACATACATCGATGAAAATGAATACAAAGCTGCACTCAGTAAGCTGAAAGAAAAGGGTAAGAAGAAAGAATTTCAGACAATTTGATTAAAATTATTTTTCTATAAGAGTGACAGGCTAGTTTCTAAAGTATACTAGTTCAAGTGGGTGTGTGTGAATGCAGCTTTGCTCTGTAGCCACTGTGTGTGCGCTGTACCGTGGAGATCTTAAGTGTATTTTGCGATTTTATGAAAGTCTCTATAATATTTCATTTATCAACACATGATCAGAATGCTTTGATGCATCTATGGAAAATACATTCATGCGGAAAGCTCATCTAAGATTTAGCAGGAATATTAGTCCCAGAAACATCAGCAGGAGTTCATATGTGATTGGATGACATAAATCAATAAAAATGAATACAAAAGCTGCACTCAGTAAGCTGAAAGGAAATGTGAAAATGAATGAAGGCCAATTGTATTAAAATTTCAATATTAAATTCTTTTGTAATAACAAAGATGTATAAATGTGTTGTTTTAAGGCATACACACATGCACATCAACAAAATTGTGGCAATTAATTTTTTTAAACTAAGTAACTTAATATAGATCGTTTCTAATTGTTTTAGCTGTTCCATGCAGACCCTAATATGACAATCTTCATTTTTTTCGCCATCCTCATACATGCATACATTGTGCTGTCTGCATTCAGACAAAAAGTCGTAAGAAATTATTTTTCTTATGACAATTAAGTACAAATATAATGAATCAAGAACATGAAAGTTAGTTTAGTTCTGTACATATAAATAATTACACAAACTGATATATGCACATGTTGTATTGGCTTCATCATGTTACCTTATTTTGAGATCGTGAGAATGAGGACTACCAACTTGCTAAACTGCTATCTGCAAAGCTGCCAAAGTGAGAGAAAATCTCACCATTGGATGCTTGTCAAAGAGATTTTTTTTTTAATAGAACCAAAATATTGCGCCAATCACAATTACAATTCGCAGATTATACAAGGCACTTATACAAGGCGCTGGCAACATTATTTTCCTCGTCACTGAATACTGAGTTGGCAGCTACCCGCACAATGCAACTTTCTCGTGCTCCCTGGGGAGTATCCTTGGTCATTGCTGCTTGAACGCGCACAACCCATACATTCAATGCCATACCATCCTACCAGGTACCCATTTATACTCCTGGGTGGAGAGAGGCAAACTTAAGTAAAATGCCTTACCCAAGGACACAAGCAATGCGACAAGCGTCGATCTCAAACTCCCCTCCTGACAATCAGAATTCCACCTTACACACTGCGCCACAGGCTCCTTGGAATGCATCTAATTCAAAATCCTCCACACATGTAAGACAATGTGTCATAAAAGACATCCTGTATGGATGACTGCTTCTAACATTTCACTACTAAAAGTAATTTCTTGGAATTTTTTTCGGACTTCAATGGTCAGGACCAGGGTAACAGAGAGTTAAAAATCATGTTAATATTTAAAAGCTATGCACTCTATTGAGTGCTGACTTTATTTTATTATTGCCTCCTATGTAGTACTCCAAACATATTAAAATAAACAAATCAAAAGAGATTTAACATTGTTAAAGCACTCCTATGAAGCTATTGATAGTATTGTATTCAATAAGAATGAAAGCTGCATTCAAATCAGATCCAAAGTTGGGACTGTGTTCCGATGCGCTGAAAGCCAGCATTCCTATACTTACATGCTGATCCCACTTTTTAAAGCAGTCCAATAAGATTGTCAATCTGAAAATTTAGATTGTTTGTGAATTCTCCCTAACAATTTGAATAGATGCTTTATATTCCTATATAATTAATTAATTATAATCCTAAAATTGAACTAAAGAAAGTGAAAGGAAATATTTGAAAAAATAAATTATTGTTATTGCTATGTGTATGAGATAATGAATACATAATTACTGTAATGAAGTTCCAATTATAACACAAACAACAGTACTGTAATATGATTTATATTAAATTTAAAATATTAGTTGTAGACGTAATTTTAACTTATAATAAAGACTCAAACAAGTGACATGCCTGATGTGCCACCCTCTGCCACCTTTGAAGAAACATGCAAAAAATTATCAACTGATGAACACTATACACAACTAGGGGGATCAAGTGAAAGTGAATTTAGTTATTTCACTATAGACCATTTTTCGCAAAATTTGAAATGAAAATTTCCGATAACGTGGCAACTACCATTGAGAGAATTCCAGAATCCTAAGCACATCACGCTATGTAGTAGTTACCAGTGTGCGCATGGCTGTCTATTTGACACTAGCTAGCTGCTCTAGCTAGGCCATGGGCTAGGTTAGGCTGCTGGAAGTCCCCCAGTGAGTTGCAAGACATTGGCATCGCTGTTTCAAAATAAACCAGATGAAATGGCCTTCGTTGCATGATGTTCCTCTGCAGCGGTAGTAGAATATAACAAACAAACATTATCCTTCTTAATTTGCTCCTATAGATACTCAAAAGAGTGACCTGCCTGTTGTGCCATCTGCTAGGACCCTTGAAGGAACATCTAAAGAATTTTCAAGTGATGATAACAAGACTCAGCTAGTAGGACCAAGTGAAAGTGAGTTTAAAGATTTATAATAATTTATTTTGTGTTCTTTTCAATGGACTTGATGTATTATTGAGCAATTAGTAGAGCTTTACTATGATAGTTGTAGTTGATGCTGCTCTTGCTCTGCAGCAGTAGCAGTAGTAGAATAAAACAACCATTTCCTTCTTAAATTACAGCTATGATAGAGACTAAAAAAAGTATCGTGCCTGATGTGCCATCCTTTATGAGCCTTGAAGGAACATCTGAAGAACTGTCAAGTGATGAAAACAAGGCTCAGCTAGTGAGACAAAGTGAAAGTGAGTGTTTCAAGATTTCAATGTTATTATTATATTGATATTTTGATTTTTAGCAATTCTAACATATAACACTAGATTGTATTTCTTGGAAATGTATTTGAACATTAACCACATAATAATATTTTAATCAGTGAGGTCTATGGTTCCAAATTGACTAGATATTTATCCTCAAGGCTAATACATTAATGCAGAGTTAAATCAAATATTGTAAGATATGTCACACAATAAAGAAATAAAAACAAAATACAAGTATTGTGGATGCTTGCTTGATAATGATATTATAGTACTGGTATATCTTATATAGACTTTTTCTGTTAGCAAGAAGTCAATGGTGACTTGAAATTTAAGCAGCAAAGACAGGCCAAACCAGTCACTCCACACCACTCCATGTTTTTGTGATAATAAAATAAAAACATGGTGGAATGTGAACATTGTTTAAATCTATTTGTCGTACTAAACTCAACTTTGAATATCTATACATCATGCTATGTTATTATTTTGCCCATTTTCGACAGTAAACAATATATTTTAATGACTTAGTGATGATCTGTGCTTTAGAAATGTTCAAATCATAATCTTTGAAGTTTGATTTCTCAAATACAGATCTTTAAACAGCTGTATGTTTAAATTCCTCTAACTTTTCTAAATAATAAAAATAAATGATTCTTTTACCATTTCAAACTTTCATAGCTGTTTACCCTGTATTAACAACTGAAAATAAATTTTGTTTTTGCGAGGAATGTCTGCTTTGGCTTGTTTTTCCCCCATATTATTCAGTTAGATCATGACAGATATTCAATATTAAAATGTTATGAGCTCCGTTTGTGAAATGTAGCAGGAATGAGAACTGTTAGGCACATTATATTTATTCTTGTTTTGTACATTTTATGTATATTTTGAGGTTACTTTTAAAACAAATAAACACCAGTTTTTGCATATGTTGAGTGACAGTAGTTTTTATATGTTTAGGTTGTTGCCTGTCTAGAAATTATGAGTTTAGGCATTAAAATCGTATCTGCAGCTAATTTAGTTTTTATGCACATTTTAGATAAATTACAACTATTTTGAACAATGGCGGCCATTTCTATACAAGGCGTAAAATCAAGTGTCAACAGGGCTTAGGGTGACCAGAAGGGATTAATTAGGATATCTGGCAATGTGGATTGCTTCTAACATTCCGCTCCTTCTAACCCATTTTTCCTAGACTAATACTCATGGTAAATGACATTATAAAAATTGTCTGTGATGTAAACATCTTTACTAGAAACAACAGTACACTAATGTTAATTTTAATGTTAAAGATAAAATATAAGTTGTAGACTTAAGAATTTCAATTGTTAATCATCAAAAATTACTTTAAAGGGACAGAAAGTGAGACACATGATGTACCATCCCCTGCCACCTTTAAAGATACATCTGAACAATTATCAAGAGATAAACACAAGACACTAGTGGGATCAAGTGAAAGTGAGTTTATTTATTTTAGTATTAAATTGTTTCTTTCATTGTTGCTGTGTATTATTTATTTATTTATTCTTTATACTGGGTTACCTCTTCAGTAAGAAGTTACTGTTCTCCCAGAGGGCCCAGTACACATTAAACATTAAAATCTCAAGAAAAACAACACAGAACATAAAAAAAAAAAAAAAAAACACAAATTAAGTAAAAAATTACCTACCCCCCGCATTCCAAATATGAGAACCCCTAAATGTAAAACTTCTTCTACCAGATTCAGTTCTGATTTTAGGCAAAATTTAATTTCCTGCAGAACTGGATCTGGTAGAATAGTTATGTACATTGTCAACTGAGGTGAAAGTGTTTTGGAGAGAAGGGACTCTGCCACTCAAGCATTTGTTAACAAGGGTGACTAAATGGTTATTTCTCCTTTCGCTAAGAAATGACCAACCAAGAGAAGTATGTCATTGAGATAAATTTGTTCGGTGATCAGCCGTAAGTATAACACGTGCTGCTCTATTCTGTAATTTGTCTAATAAACCCTTTCCACAATTTCCCCAAACAGAATCACAATAATCAAATAAAGGTAATATGAGAGATTTATAAAGTAAATTAAGAGAGTTCTTATCAATATAACGACGTAATCTACCCAGAAGAGAAATTCTACCGCTCACCTTATAACAAAGTTTGTCAACATGCACATTCCAAGAAAGTGATGGATCAAACCAGATGCCAAGATATTTAAATCGGTCAACGGCTTGAATGGCAGCGTCCCTAATCCTAATATCAAGATATTACTGTAGAGCAAAACAAATTTTATCCTCCTTAATTTTACCATAATAGAGACTCAAAAAAGTGAGACATCTGACTTATCATCACCTGCCACCCTTGAAGTAAAACCTGAAAGATTACCAACCGATGAGCACAAGACACAGCTAATGGGATCAAGTGAAAGTGAGTTTAGTTATTTTAGTATTAAATTGTTGCTTTCATTGTTGCTGTGTATTACTGTAGAGTAAAACAAACTTTATCCTCCTTAATTTTACCATAATAGAGACTAAAAAAAGTGAGACTGATTTATCATCACCTGCCACCATTGAAGTAAAACCTGAAAAATTGCCAACTGATGAGCACAAGACACAGCTAGTGGGATCAAGTGAAAGTGAGTTTAGTGAAATTGGTATTATATTGTTGCAGTAGCTATAGAACAAACACTACTTTATAGTTATTTCACTATTATAGTTGTTGATGATGTAGCTCTTGCTCTGCATTAACAGTAGAATAATAAAATAAACATATATTATCCTTCTTAATTTTCAGTAATAATGGAGACTCAAAAAAGTGACATGCCTGATGTGCCATCCATTATGACCTTTAAAGGGTCATCTGAAAAATTGTCAAGTGATGAAATCAAGGCACAGCTAGAGAGAACAAGTGAAAGTGAGTTTAAATATTTAAAGAATATATTTTGGTTTCTTGGCATAGCAGCAATATATGTCAAACATCCTTTTTAATTTCCACCTACAATAGGGAGACAAAAATATTGCACACCAGGTATGCCATCCACCACCCTCTCCAGAACATATTTAACTGTTCCCTGGCTAAAGGCCTGTTTATACTTGCAACAATAATTGATAAAAAGCTAAAAAGCAATTGTTCATTTAGAAAATAAAAGAAATATGAAAAGTTTGTATTGTATTTGTTAAAATTGGATGGTAAAAACAATAATAATCTGATTTGTAATAATGTAGAGAAGATGATGAGAATTTTGAGAATTTTGAAATGGTTCTCCATCCTTCATCAGCGAGTGATGTGACTATTAAAATGTCAACACTATTTTACTGCAAATGAATTTTCATGAAGTTTAACATTATCATTAATAAGCATTTCACATTCATTATTCAATATCAATTTATCCAACTTCAATTTCACTAGAGGGGAGAGGGCATAGGACATACCTGTAGCTCTAGATCAATTGAATTTCTCAATTGTTAAATATTGTTTTTTAAAATGTATATGAACATTCCCCACTATTTTAGTCAGTGCTGTTCAGAAGTACCACATGAACCTAGATATTTGTTTTTCTGTTTCAATTCATGGATACTGATAGCTAAATGTCCAGCAGTTTAAGTTGGTTTTGGTTCGAGTTAGTTTTGGTCAGAGTTTGTTTTGGCTGTCTGTTGGGCTGAGTTGGTTTTTGTCTGTGATTGAAGTATTCAATTTAGGTTTGGTCCAAGTTGTTGGTGATTTTGGTGTTAATTTTTATTTCGGTCTTAACTAATTGGATCTTAAGTGACAAAAAAGTAGCAAGGATGTAGCAGTACACCTTTGAATGTGGTACAGTATGTCTAATAATCACCAACTAGCAAAGCCCAACAATTCTATTTGTTTCTTTAATTCTTTGAAGATAGTGTCTTTACAGCATGTCGCAACATTTACTTAAAGTAACTATATTTCAGTAAATGCTTCTCTTTTAATAGACTCCTCCCCTCAATAAACATCCCCTCCAGAACATGTGGCTGTAACCTGGCTTATGCTTCTTCAGTCCCCACCACCGTGGGGCTGGGGAGTGGCAGGACACATTTTTCTTGATTTATTTATTTATTTTGAACAGATTGGATGTTGATCATATGTCATTATAAATATTTTGTAAATCTGATTTTGTGTTGTTGAATATTACATAAATTTATGTAGAGAATTTTATAATTTTTGTTAATATTTAAAATCATTTGATTAACTTTCAATATAATCCTGTATGCTGAGTCTGTTTTTTTTTTTTTTTTTTTTTTTTTTTTTTTTTTTTTTTTTTTTTTTTTTTCTTTTTTTTTGGGTATTGGTTTTTTTTTTGCTTAATTTTTACAGCATCTGAAGGAATACTTGAGGAATTACCAGGAGATGGTGATAGCAAACTGGAAACACGACTTGTACAACCAAAAATGGGTGAGTTTATAATTTACAGAGACGTGAGTAAATATTATTTTAGCTACTTCCATTCTTAATAATGACATAATTAATGTTGAATTATTGAATCCCAACATGATGGCTTGCATTCAATGCTTGGAGTATGTATGACACTTTCTATTTCCATTGAATTAACTAAAAAGAAGCAAAGAGGTAGCACATTTTTTGAAAAGTATGTCAAAATTTTCCAACAATAAAAGCCACACTACTTGTCCTACTGGTTGTCTATATGGCCTGATAATGAAGATGATGTCTCAGTGTCACAATATTTACGTAAGATAATGATATCTTTTCAATTAATTTACCCCAGCTAAAGCTTAAAACATCCGGACTGAAGTGTCTAAAAGTAATGTCTAAAAAATAAAAAGAAACCTAAAGTAATACAATAAAACAGGAATTTGGTGCACTAATCAGTCTTGAACATGACAAAAAACATATTGTAGTCAAAGATGAGAATAGGCCTAATATATAACAAATTTGAAAAAGATCCTACACCCAGCTACAATAGAGAAATAGTGGGTATCATCAGTAGATGCAAAAATGTTGACCCAAATCCAAAAATTACAAAAGATACCCTATTACAGTAGCAGATGTACCAAAGATCTGTGGTACACCTAAAATACATAAAACTATAACACCTCCATAAGCCCATTGTGTCTGGCAGGGGCAGTTTTACCACCATTTTAAGTCCATTGGGTAGGCAGTAACTCATATTGTATCAAAAATATAGCCAAGATTTTACAAAAACATATTCAAATACTGTATTTCTCCTAACCAGAAGATAATTTCTTATAATGTACTAGCTTTTTGATGAGCATTCTGGTACAGGACCCTTTACAGTTAATAGTAGGTTGGCCCAGGAAATAACTTAAATATTCCACCTTCAGAATTACTCAGACTTTAACTCGTAACTTGTATTTCAAATACCACTTACTTTTTATACATGGACTCATGGTACTGCTGCAATGGAATCTCTTGTTTTCCCAATAAATGTAAAAGTTTGAAAATAATGCATTAACTTCACTTCTGTGTGAGTGATCATCTCATATGTTGATGAAACTTTTGTAGTAATACACACATTTCACATTAAATAGTCACAGCATAGACACTAATATTAAATTCACTTAAAAAATTGAACCAGGGGGTGAACTCACTTTCAAAAGTCTGAAATATTAAAGTAAAGGGCTACTAGAATTTACTGAGACAAATCAAATTATAGTAGTAATAGCAGGCTATGGTATTCTATTGTGACATTCATATTTGATAATAAAATGCATGCTGATGAAGACAATAGGCCCTATAGGCCCCTCTGAAAATGTCAATTTCCTTCCCCCTCCCCCGATCAATGAGTCTGAAGCAGGTCTGAAGTGACCAATACCAGCTTTATATTTATTTATTAAAATATTTCTGATGAGAAATAATATAACTCAACTTACAGTTTTCTCTATGATTGTTTAAGTGTAAAATACTAAAGATTACCAGTAATTCTGGTCATTTGATGATGACACCACACTTTAATATCAACCTTAAATTTATGTCGTAATTAAAATATACTTTGATTCATTTTTTGTTGGCTCTATAAAAAAAACCTTTCTTAATTCCTGGATATGCCACTGATGATGATGACATCATGGTTGATTTGACAAAATTATTGAGGATTTTTTTAAAATTTTTTGTCTTCAGTTAAATAGCAATAAGTTCCTGGAATTTTGGTTGTGTAGTAGGAGATTTTGCTAAGAAAAACCATTTGATGTTAATTGGCCTGACAACCCAATAAGTGCTCTTGGAGTATATTTCTCTTATGATGAAGACAAACAAATCCAAAGAAATTATGACAAGAAGATTAAAAAATAAGCTAAACATGTGCAAAATCAAATTATACGGGGTCTCTATTTTATTCATCTCCCGTCAAGCTTTTTTGTTCCAAATCATGTTATAAAAGATATTGAAAAAATTATATACAATTTCTTGTGGAAGTTTTGGAAAGGATTTTTTAAAAAATGAATTTTATTATTTGAACATTTGAAGAAAATTCCCTAGTTTACTAATTAAAGCATTAAAAGTTAATGGGTTCAGATATTTTATGAAGAAAGTACATCTGCCTGGAAAGATCTCCTTTATATATTTACATTGTGTGAGGGTATATTTAAGACAGCATTGCGCCCTCAGAGTGACCACATCAAATTACATTAAGATTAGGGACAAAGGCAGTGATAGTCAAGCCGTCCATCCGTAAACATCGATGTGCTATAATCCTCAGAAGTCACTCACCCACCGTTTCATTTATATTCATAAAACTACCGTAACTATATGGGGTTTGAGCCGCTATTAATCTCACTATTGTGGAAGGACTGTGCTGTTAACTTAACATTCATCTTTTAATTTGAATATTTCTAATTTTTATCGTAAACTGATTTTACTTGATTGTAATAATTGCTTTAAACTATCTTGAATTAATTTAACATAGATTTTAGTTTCGTTTATATGCTTTCTGTAATTATTTAATTTGGTTTAAATAAGTTCTTTTAATCGACATTGGCTTTTGAATCAAAATTTATATAACGGGTGCATTCATATTTATATAATTATTCCGATAAGCATAATACAGTTTCTGACCTTGAAACCTTTGGAATAGATCATCTTAATTAAAGTCTAATAATTTGTTACATTTCTCCAGTCTTCTACTCAGTCTGTCCAGCGTTTAAATCAGTATTTAGTTTTAATTCAGTCTTAATCCCTCATCTCACATCTTTAACGCTATTCCATTTCATTATATCCGTTGGACAAGTTCCGACGGTGACAATTACATTACAGTGCAGTAATGAAATCATTTTCAATTGTAATATTGATGAAAAAGTTTCGAAGGCTTGGCATGATATTCAATTATTCTATAAGAAAATTATTCTTACTTAATCGATTTGACTAAACCTGATAGAAGTGATGTTTATACACATTATATATGGAATAATAGATATGTTAAAATAAATGGAAAATCTCTATTTGATATTTTTTAACCTAAGGAATTCAAAGAACTTTCAAAGCAAGTTTTCAGTAGAAATTTATGCAAGTTCAAAATAATGTTTGTACATGAAGAAGAAATTCATATTGGTACGGCCACGTCCAGGTCTATTTATAGAATATAATTGTTAATAGAAAAATAGTTATGCCATTGGCAAAAGAGAAATTTAATGTAAAATTTGGCGTTCAGGATGATTCTTCGCCTAATATTTATACCTTACTTTTCTGGTGTTCAAAGGAAGTAAAAATGCAGATATTTTAATCTAAAACTCTTATGAACAGTTTGATGATTCACTATAGATTATGCGAAATGAAATTTATAGGTTAAAATCAATACTCGTATCTTAAAACAAAAATCAAATTATGAATTGACGCCTCTGTGGAACATATTGTAATAAGGCCATGTAAAACAAAACAATTGGTTAGCATCCCCTCTCTACCATCAAAAAGGCCTGTCTCTTATACACAATCTAGATGTGTATAAGAGACAGCTTTAATATCAACCTTAAATTTATGTC